TTTTTTTTTCTTTTTTAATACTAAATTATAAAATCTTCGTTTTTGAATGAATATAGGACTAGATAAATTTTGAAAAATTATTTGTTTAAAAACAAATTAATAATAATTGTTTAAACCAAAAATCTTAGAAAAATATTTTGTATACAAAAAAATATAAAGGAGCATTTGAATTCTTGATTATGACGTAATTTAAAAGTAGAAAAAGTTATGTTTGAAATGTAATTTATTTTACTAGTTACATCTTTTTATTAATTATGCTATTTTCAAAAGTTTGGATTTTATATTTGTTTCAAGTAAACATTTCATAATATTTAATTCAATAGAAAAATGTTTGGGAAGTATAATTTTTTATAACTATAGGTTATTTTAATACAATGATGCTTAATTCAAATATTAAATTACGTAGTATATTGCTCTTGTGATACTATCATAAAAATGTTATGAATAATTACTTGTTCAGTATGCATTTTATGACTATAGATAAAATCATAATGTAAAGTAAATTTAATTAAGTTATTATTAGGGGCTAATTTTCCACGGTTATGTAAGATACCAAAATAGATAAGTTTTGTAAAAAAACACGTTTGGGTGGATAATATGGATTTGTAACGGTACGTATCCAAACATAGGGTTCATTAAATCTAGATCCCTAAATTAGACAACTTACATGATATTTATAAAATATGGAAGGGTAATAAATTATAGTTGTTACGGAGCACTTTCCCGAACATATTTAAAATCAAAAATATAGACGCTTATATAATATACGCTATAGCACTATCTAGCAGAAAAATAAATATAAAATATAATATAGTAGTTTTAAAAAATGACACTAGATAACGCTCGTCCACTAGTGCATTTAAGAAACGAGATGGATTGATGAATGATTTAGATATAATTATGACAGACCGGATATATGAGTATCTAGTAGGTAGAAGTGGTCAATATAGAATGAGAACAAGTGGTGTGGAATGTGTATATTAGGAATGGACATTTATAAAAAGAGAAATATCAAAGGGGGCCACTGTCGTTGTACACGTACAATTAGGAATTGTAGTACAAATAAGGCGGCAAGTAGTAAATGAAGAAGTCTTTTCTTAAAACATATGTCCGATCAATGACTGTCATGAGTAAGTTCAGTTGCAATTTGCATCTATCATCTCTATATAATGAGATTTCAGACGGTTGTTAACCCTGGAGGTCTACTTTATGGAGACGTATCCGTGTAGTACATCTGAATCAATAAATTCCTCTATAAAGTAAGGTGTATTACAGTTTGAATCATCCCTTGAACGTATTATATTAAAGACTATCTATAAAAAATAAAATTGGTGGAAGAGTACCGTTTCATAACATTAAGTGTGTACTTTTATAATTTTTTAATGTACCGTGTAATTATTAAGTAATTGTAAATTGTCATGATACCATAAAAATGATAGTACAATCACACATTTTTAGACTATACTATCATATACGAGTCTACTAGCAAAGATTTCTATGCCACTAATATTATGAGAATAATAAATTTACAATTATAGGTGTAAAAATTTGTTTTTTTTTTTTAAGTTTTAAAATTGTTCATTTTAACAGCCTTATTGAAACTTTTCAAATTTTATGAAATGTTTCACGTCAAATTTTCAGAAACTTTC